TCTTCCCATTAAGGACACTATAGGTTTAGAAACTAGCAGAAGAAACTGACATTGCAGGAATGGGTGCAGGTTCCATGAGCAATGTCTAGAATGTATAGCTTGCAATATTGATTTGCATGTGTATGTACTACCACGTGTGTGGAAGACTAACCAATAGTTAAGCATCTATTATTAATAGTTTCATATTCAAAATGGCATTGCCAACTTGCACTTACCACAGTGGAGCTGTGGTTCTCTGTAGCATATCTCTGTTCTCCTTCAAGAGCAATAGTAAACTAATAAAATCAAATTTTTACTCAAATTAAGATGTGTCTGGAATGCGTAAGAATTTGGCATTGATGAGCATAGTAAATTAATGACAATTTGTTTAGCAAAACTTTAAAATAAAAATTCGTTCATATTTTATAATTTTCAAATAGAAATAAACACATTTTTTCATTAAAACATGGTAATGAAGTGGTATCTATAGTTACTGTCTGGTTTGTAAGAAGCTGATGATTACAATGGAGAGGGAGCTTGTTTCACTAGTTTGAACACATGCCAGAAGTATTCAAAATGGGAAGAAATGTGCTTGAAGAGTCAGTGGGTTTGAACTTTAAAGGCTTTGGTCCTCTTGCCAAGTCTGCCACTTCTTCCTTGGGTAAATACGGGACAGTTATCATTTGAAGTGCTTCACTCTCACTTTCCTCATTTAAGAACACAGATATTTTAGCTGACTTCTTTTGTAGAGCAGTTTGAGATACGGTAGCGAAGAGGATAGGTGTTATTTTAAGCACTGTTTTTTAACCAGGGGCGAGAGGTTGGCTCAGGACACTGGCAGAGAGGCTTGGAGAATTTTGCCTCCTTATTGCCTAGTGGAACCATCCCCAAGAAAAGGTCTTTCATTGAGGAACAATATTTGAAGGTGTTTTCATGTAGTTATTGATTTCAGACCAACCCACAGGAAGCTTTACCTATACATTAGTGCTAATTTAGCATCCATTTACCAGAGTGGCAGGGATTGAAATGAGTATGCAGTCCTCTTGGCAAATGGTCTCCTTAGGTGAAGGTTGAACATTGGGATGGAAGAACGTGAACAGACATATGTTGCTGTATCTAGCTGAACATTACTTCGAAAGCTCCACTGCTTTTTGTGGTTTCTGCCCTCCTAAGCCCTCAACCTTTTACAAACACACAAGTCCTGCGTTGCAACTGAACGTTAACTACATGATGAGTCTCACAATAGCAGATATGCTTATTGAAAGGGCAGGGAATACGGTGTTATTTCAAAAATCTTCTAATTGTAAAACCTATCACTCTTTTTAGCATTCGAAGTGGCTTGTATTGAATTTAATACATACGTATATGTGTGCGCATCTGTGCTCACACATTTGGAAAGAAGAATGTGGATATTTGGATTATATTTGAACAAGTATTTTAACCATTAAGGGTAGATCTAGAGCTGCAGGGCCAGGACTGCATCACAAACTTCAGTGCCAAAGCTCTCCTGAACTCTAATAAGACTGAAAATATATGTTTTGTTCTACATATCTAATTATCCATCACTTTCTTTTGGGAAACCTTTACAGAAAAATATTTTTTTATCCTTAACATTAAAAAAAAGTTATCGGAGGAAACTGCAGACACAGTGAAGGGTCATGTTAATTGAATTTAAGAAATTCAAACATTTGTGTCCAAAATTTTTTATGAGATTTAATTGGAAAGCCAGGCAAAGAGTCTTTATGCTATTATTTTCTAGGTGATCTGTGGTAGATTTGGTTTGGTTTGGTTTTGTTCCTCTCAGTACTGCTTAGAAATCAGCTAAAACATTTATATTGCAGAAATGGTACAGCAGCAGTTTCAAGTCTTTTGTGCCTTACATGCTTGATGGGAAAAATCCCATTAATGATAGAAAATGCTAATCAGCAATGTGTTTTGCCAGCCACCACAGGCCCACGCACTCTATATAATCCATTGTTTATTAACCTAATGAAGGTCATTGTAGGTTTTGAAAGCTTGTGTGACAGCATCTCAAAATGGTTTTAAAACTCTGTGCTGCTGGACTCTGGTGCCAGAATAAATGAAGGCTGGATATTTACTTGTCAGGATGGCTCTGGCGTAAATGAGTTTTTTCTGGGTGGAATGATCATACTGTGCCTTTCGTTTGTTCATTATAATTGTCAAGACAGACAAACAGTGCAGTGGTGGCTAAGCTGATGGTGCTGCCATTAAGCAGCTAGACACTGTCTTTATCCACGTCTTATTGATTTTCCTTTTCTTTTCTTGGCAGGTGACATCACACAGAAGGGATATGAAAAGAAGAGATCAAAATTAATTGGGGCCTACCTGCCACAGCCTCCCGGTACGTGTATCAGTGCTTGTGATATATGAAGATGTCAAGCGTACTGATAGTTGCCACAGTAAAAATCTGCATCTCTGAAGAAATTTATGTGGCATAAACAAAGCTATTGTCATGCAGAAAAAGCTTATTCCATCCATTTTATGTATATTTTTATATATATGTCCGCTTTGATGTGTGTGTACATTTTTTACATACGTTGCTGTGGGTTTGGCAGTGGTTTCTGGAAAATAAAAATTAGCCTAGACTCATTAGAGAGGCATTGTTTGTTAGAAGTAATGCAGAAATACAGAGGAAAACATGATGCCCTAGCTCATTAAGACCTCAGCCAAGCAAAGCTTTCTGAACATAGGTATACACAAGTGGAAGAGAACCTTGGAGCTTTGTGCCTTCCTCTATTTCTGGGTTTCCTGCCCAAATCTCCCTGTTGAAGACACTAGAGAGACCAGCAACATCCCTAGAGTTCAGCTTGTCCTATAACATGTGGGCAACCGATCCTTTTAGATACCTGATACCTGGTCTCAGCGTTGAGGGACGGATTGCGTGTATTTGCCCAAAAGGTGTAAAAAAGTCTTCAAACTAAGTTTAATAATGTATTGCTTCTTTGAAATGATTTCGTCTATATATATCTAAGAACTCTTCAGAGTTCTTTCGCTCTTCTGAGACACTGAATCATGAAGTTAAATATGTAGTTGTAGGTATTCGTGTAGGCCTCCATTTTGTGTCAGCCTCACAGGAGCGTGCCCCACAGGCTCATGGCATCTCACTCTCCTTATGGACACTCCACCTGGGCTTGGCTGTCCTCTGAGCCCTGTTTTTATTGCACACCTGGGAATTAGTTTCCTCCTTCTTTTACAAAATCCTGCCTTTATGGTGGAGTTGATGGTTTTCTATTTAAACTACTCATGTGTGGAGGCACTGCCTTGTTCTCTGATCTTCAGGTGTATATATATTAGCTAGGTCCGTAGCAGAAATGGTATTTTGTGCCTTTGGATTTCACTTGGTCTGCTCCACTGGTGGGAACTCCACAAAAGAGATTAGTGTTACACACACTCTGTTTTCTGACGTGATACAGCCTGATTTGAGGGTGTCTGTGACATTTCCTAACCATTGGGAGCCATTAGAGAATGAAACAAATGAAATCAACAGAATTACAATATCAGAGGTGCAGTTATTAAATTTCTGGGTATTTACTTGTCCGAACAGACTGTCAGACATGCAATAGTCTTCACAGTATGTTCTCATGAGACCTACTTAGGTTTACTGAGTTATGGGGAGACTGTTGCCTCACAGTAATCCTCAACACAGTGGTGTGGTTGGTACCAGTATTTGTTTATACAGTTAGTTGTACCTTTTTTTTTTTCACACAAGAAAATAACAGCTTTTTCTCCAGAAAGCTCATAGTCTTCTAGTCAAACTGTATCCTTGGCTGAAACTGCTGGGGATTCATCATGCATGTAATGATGAAAGAAAGAAGGTGGAGAACGTTCTGAGGTTTATCTTTCAAGGTCTCTGTTGTGATATTAAAGTTTTTCAGTGTAAGGAGAAGCACAGAGATCTCTGTAAGCCAGTCCTATAGTGGGGTCCATTCAATAATTTGAAGATGTCATGACTGAAGATGTAGCTGATTTAGTGCTGTTTTAAAGGTGGGAAGAAGTGGAGTGAATGTTTTCTGCTCTACCACTTCCCAGAAAATCCTGCACTGGGGATGTGGGGTATGGGTGAGTGGAGGAAGATGATAATAGGATGAAGAGGAAAAGTATTGAAATATTTTCCACTGTTTTCTTGTCCATACATCAAGCTCAATCGTTTAGCTGATGGCTAAATGAATTATTTTATTATAGTGGAAGACACTGCTTCTACTGTATTAAAGTGTTTCCCTCCAGAAACTGATATTATTTGTGCTTGGGTCTTTGCTGTCTTTGTACTTTTTGTTTGTTTTGTTGTGTTACCTTTTGGACAAAACTTGAAACAGTGCAATTTGATACACTCCTTCTAAGACTTTACTCATCTGAATGGCTTGAGGTCCCTGCTCACTAGGAAGGGGGAGATAAATCCTTTCCAAGAAGAAATAGGATAACAAAACAGATGCTGCCTTTTGAAAGCCTCTGTTAATATCTGAACAATCACATACATGGCTGAATAGTCATTTGTTTCTTCATTGTAATCTGTTTTGATGGGGAACTGCAAGAATTTATAAGCTTTGGTGGTCTTGGATCTTGCTATTAAAACGGAATAGATGTTTTAGAGATACTTTAAAACAGTATGGAAATGGACATGGCTCTTTCGCTGGGATTGGAGGCATGGGGAAGGGCAGGGATTTGCGTTCTGTGACTGCGTTCAACAAACTAAAGGAAATCCAAAGGCAGTTCCCCTCTGTCGGGACATCCAGTCCTCTCGCTGCACCTTTGCTAACATTACTAACGCCCATGTTGGCAGAGTGGAACATTGGCCCGCGTTGGCTCCGTGAGTGTCCTGTGGTGTCTGTGCGTGCGTGTGCGTGTGTGCTCTACTGCATGGGGGCAGCAGCTCCATTCGTTGCTGTAACAAATGTAAAAAAACTAAACATGAATTAATTAGTTTTTTTCAACTTGTTACAGCAGCGAATGGAGCTGCCGCGGTACGGTGTAGACTGCAACACAGTGAAGGAGCTGCCAGAAGAATGCTCCGCACTGCCAACATTGGTGTCTGTGACATCCGGGAAGCGGCCGCTAGAGAGAGAGCAGCCAGCACGGCAGGAAACCGGCCACTCTTTTATTTTCGTTTTGGTGAGCACAATGAATGTATCTTTTTCCAGTCCGTATCTGTCTGTAACTGTGCCTCATCTGGAAGCCTCTGGTAGACATCTGCATCAATAAGATAGACTAGGAACTGCCAGTGACAAGGCAGGACAACCAAAGGACAACATCTGGAAGGCAGTTACTGACTTCTGTCTGCCTAAGAGTGAAGTGACGGGAAAGGAAAAGGAATACTCCTTCTTAGTAACATTTGAACATGTTGACTCTCTAGCTTCCGTACCATGGATACTTTGGAGGAGATTTCATACAATAAGCTGGTGAAACACAGGAAAGCATGTGTTTCTAATTCCCTTTTTGGCACCGTCTTTTTACAGAGCTCTGGACAGGTCCAAGCCCACCAGAATCCGGAGGAAGCTGTAAAAATCTAAACACCCCTATTCTGTGCTATTTTCAAATAGAGTTCTCTGCCTGAGCTCCACTCACATCTGAACCATTCAGAAGCAGACTGAGTTTTAGGTACAGGCATCAGGCTGGTAGGGCAGACTGGAGGCAGAACATTCTGCAGGGCTACGTGGCTGCAGCGTGGACAGGCAAGGCATGACCCCAGCCATGCCTGCGCGGCTGTGCCCTTCAGCAGATGATACCCGTCCTGTCTTCTGGGGGTGACCTGTGGCAGTCAGTCTGCTCCTACTTCCTGGGTTTGTAGCAAGGCTGGGTTTGTAGAGGATTCGCAAGACACCAGATTGTCTCTTACGAACCATGTGGGCACATGGAGGACATCACATTCTTGCCTGTGTGCTTGTCCATGCTCCTGCAAGGCGGTCCAGACACAGTGTAAAAGATGGCTAAAGGGAAAATAGGTTTTGCAGTTCTGTCAGGACAAGACATACCTGCAAAAAGATTATCTCTTTAAGGCACTCTTCCCTGCTCATTTTCAAACCAATTTGCCCGAACACTAAAGAGGAGATCCATATCGGATTCTGACTGTGGTGTTTGTATTTCTCCTCTTACGTGGGGCTGATCTAAGTCAGGTGCCCTCAGTCTGACATGATTGACTTCCTCTGCCCAAGATTTTTGCAAAATGGGAATGATTAAATTTAAATTGCAATTTCAGATTTAGCAGAATTAATGATATCAAAACATGTAAGTGCTAAATCTAGGCAGCAGAAGGGTTGACTATATACATATATAAATACACACATATATATCTCGGTATATACCAGAGGTCTTTTCGTTGTGCTCATTGGGATACTGTCATTTTAGAAAGGGAGAGCTGTTACTTTTCAGGAATGGCTATAATCCTAATCTGAAAGGGGAAGCTGGGCAGTCACGTGGTTGATACTGTACCAGGTGATGTGGGAGTTCACTCTTAGGCTCCCTATTTTTGACAGGACAATCCCAGAGAGTATATTGTCACATATATGGCAAACGTGCAGTGAGTCTGACACATGAGGGACGTGCTGGATCCGCTGCACATCTGCAAGTTGACTCCACAGTGCATGCACAATAGGTCTGACACATCCAGATGCTGCACAGACTGCACATATGCAAAGGACATTTGTACTGTTCCAGCCGGGCTGTCGAACATCCAGAAATCCGGAACGGATATGCTGCATTTGGCAGTGTTAATGGGAGAAGGGATAGGGGGAGCCCTCTTTTTTTTTCCCATTAAATCCCCACCTGCTTTAACTTAGGGAGACAAAAGTGCAGCTTTGTTTCCTCAACACGCTTTCTCAGGATGTCAGTTTGTAGCTGGAGATGTTCTGTGCTGCAGAGTAGTTTTTCTTTTCTTAGCGTGCCCGTATGTCAGACATCTAAAAATAATAGTGAATCTGGACCTTTGTATCTGCACATATATCCCAATCTCTCTTGTGCTGTGACCTTTCTCTCACTGCCTCTGTAAAGGAGCCCTGACAGCCAAGAGCTGAAAAATAACCATTTAAACAGGCATTTACTTCAGAGTATCTTTCTGAAGATTATTTTGATTGGATCAGTCAGTTCTGGGTAAGATAACATGTGGACAACTGCGTGCACGCTATTAGGAGAAACCCTCCCTAGAAGAAAAATAACTAAATTACCTGCATCCCCCCATAAGCTGTGTTTTTGCCCAGTTTGCTTCTAGTCTTTTGCCAGGAAATTTGATTATTCATTCATGCGTGCACACTATTAGGAGAAACCCTCCCTAGAAGAAGAATAACTAAATTACCTGCATCCCCCATAAGCTGTGTTTTTGCCCAGTTTGCTTCTAGTCTTTTGCCAGGAAATTTGATTATTCATTCACAGAACAGAGACGATGTTGTTATCAATTAAGCTTTTCTTCTAACAGCTTAGACATGGGTGGTTCATTCTCTCTTAATCAAGTGCTGTGTCTACACTAGATTATTTTCTGTAATTTCCCATCATTGGTACCACCAGTGTAGCTCTATTTGTAGTGTAACCATGTAGACCAGTCACCAGTGCTTTATTTATTATGGCTGATAAACCTGTGAGATGCGGTGTTTAAAAGGCACCTGCTGCTCCTTTCACAGGCCTAGAGACAGATCACTGCCTCTCCCGCTGCTGGAGCCCCAAAAGCACCAGCACGGGGAGATTTCAAGCTATGCAATGCAGAGAAGGTAATACATTCGCACAGAAGACCCCTTTATCTAATGAAGAAAGAATTTTTTGTAGAATTACAGGAACCAATTTCCGTAGCCTCTGTTATTAACATGACACATATTTATATATATCTGTAATGTGTGCATACATTTGCAGACTTTTCTGTGTGTATGCATGCATACATTTGCTTTCAGCTATGCCTACTGCTAGCCCTTTGGGCACTCAAAGTAAACTTGGCAATTACAATTTCATTTTCTCTTCCACAGACATTATTTGGATTGCAACGTTATTTGGATTGCAAAGATTGCAAGGAAATGTTTAAACAAAGCTTGATTCTGGAATTGAAAAAAAAAGCTTGGTTCTGGAATTGAATACACCATCATGTATTCACTTTATTAATAATAACGAGTATTCCTATCACATCTGCCTTCCTAATTCTTAAAGATCTTATCAAGGGGTAACCATGATGGGGCATTTCAAAGCATATACGTGTGTTGAGAACATGGATCTCATTGAAAGGCATATGCATTGCACAACCCATGGATACATTTCTGAAAACAATGTGACAGATCTTTCACAGATGAGAAACTATGGCATAGATGAATGCTTAGTAAGTCTTGTTTTTAAACAAGAGTTTTGGTTTGAATTGGTGGATGCCTTGCAGAGCCTAGTTTGGTTAAAAAGGAAGGTTCTGAAAGCATCTGAGAACTACCCCTTGATGCCATCACTGAAAGCGTGATGGTTACTGCTTCACTTTTGCCATGATGACTGAGAGCCCAGTTATCATTTTATGCATTTTTTGTTTTATGATGACACCTCAGTTTCCTATCCTGCAGTAAGACCTGATGATATTAAACCTTGTTCAAACACAGAGCAAAAAATACCTTCCTTCAAAGACTTTACACCTTAATAGTAAGGCCAAAAAATGGGTGTAAGGGAAGAAATGAGTACGTGATGACATCAGTTAGTAATGTGGGTAGTGGTTTCAGCACTCAGCATGATGGTTTTTTGGGGCAGGATATTTTTAGTACACATCAGAGTCAGGGTGTTTTTCAAAGAATTTGAAGAATTTCAGTTGATGTTCACGGAGACCATCTGTGAAACATAAAAGCATAGGAGGAAACATGAAGATGTTTGTCTAAAAATCTGACAAACGGGTGAGAAAAGATGGCTCAAGAGGCGACCAATAGTGCTGGAGCAGAGGAGATGGAGCCAGCGGAGGCATGTGAAGAGCTGGGTGCTGCTGTTAAAATCAGAAACTGCTGGAATTCGCAATACTGCCCGAATTCGTCTGCAGCAAATTTCTGAAAGATGGATGTTAAACTGCTGGCAGTGTAAGTTGACCAGCACATGGTGTTTGCTATGTGGATAGGTAGCCTTTTTCTACGTACTCTCCTAAAAGAATCTTCAAATGGTACGCTGAAGCTGTGGGACTATCTAGAGAAATATGGAAATCAAACATTGCGTGAGTTGGAGCTGTAATGTGATGTCCACCATCTCTGAAATAATGGGGAGAAAAAAGAAGCCCACGATAGCCATGCTAAGCTTGAATTGAAAGCTAAAGCTTGCAAGGAAATGCTGGAACGCAATATCGAGATTGTAATAAGGAAAGAAGATCAATTTGAAGTATGTGCATTGTTTGAAATCAGAACCAAGTGCAGGAATGAGTGTGAAAGCTCACCTCTGAAGGAGAGATCGTTGATTAAACATATCTGATCAGAAATTCCATTTTCTCCATATTTATCTAGCAAAAAGTGGCTCCACTTTCCTGAGTGTCTTTAGTTGGGAGTATCGCATTTTACATCTCCTTTGGCCTATCCGGTGAATTCATTACTTAGATGTACATTTGATGGGAAGAGTGAAATGCCATGCTAAGTAACAAGTTCCATGGGGATGGTGTGACATTTAACCTGTTTACAAAATATACGGTGTGTTCATCACCTGTCTTTGCTTTTAAAGCTGAGCCACCAGCCATTGTGTAGAAGCTCAGGAAATACTTTGAACTGAATGTAAATACTGTTTCTTAAAACTGTACTGCAAACACTGTTTGCCTTCCTTCCCACTAGCCCTGGAGTTGCTGGGTTTATCCTACAGCTCTTTCTCCTGGGGTCACATGCTGTAAGTTAGTTTTAGAACAATAAATGTAGCCTGTATCTAAGAATGCCTTCTATTTCTTGTCAATGAGACATTTCAGCTTTTAAATATTTAGATTCAAAAATTTGACACAGACATAGGAATAAGCGATACATCAAAGCAACTTGTCAGCTGTCATTAAGGAAACAATTGTCCTCTGTTGGAGAGGGCAATGCAGCACATAGCACTGCAATTTAGCTACAAAATGAGGTAATAAATAAGGGAGGAACAAAGAGGTGAAGGCAAAAAAAAAGGAAGGAAGGAGGTGAAGCCTGCTTCCAGCTGACAGTTTTGTGCCTTCAATGCACTTAAAAATAAAACTATCCAGCTTGCAGTGGTATTGCTTAAATAGCTTTTCTGAGGCTCTTGCATTTTTAGCTAAATACAGTCAAGGCAGGATCCAGCTTGCAGATTAGAATTTGTAGATTGATATATCTGCATTAAGTTGTCTGCCTATGAACCTGGTATTTAAGCTCCCATTCTTATGTGAAAAGACACAGTTAATTCAGTTGATGAAATCCGGAGAGCTTTTCAGATTATTCCAAAGCAGATACCTCCACTGACCACCTGCGTAGCTCTCAAGGCTTCACTGAGCTCATGGAGTTGCCTGAAGATGGGTGTCTAATACTGTTCAGGATTTCCTGCGGTATCAGAGACATCTGCACAGAGCAAGCGCATGTGAATCAGGGCTTAGAGGGGACGCAGTCAAGCCAGGTATCATAGTCCACAAAAGCTGAAAAGACATTGGACACCTCTGTTTAGACTCCTGAGTCCTGGCCTAGGTCTCTGTTTTTCATAATGCGAGTTTATCTTAAGCACCGTCTTGTAGACACCTAAGTATAGGTGTCTTAATCTGCAAGCTGAATCCCACATTAGCAGCATTAGATAAACAAACTAATGCTTGTATTAAGAACGTGGCTGTTTGCTCCAGTGTACCTGGTAATGCTTATGTGTAATAAAGCACTGATTTCTCAGCCTTTTATATAAAATAACTGTGTTCCAGGCATATATGTTTTGCTAAAATTCTTCATGACTTACAACAAGTCAGTCATTAGTGCTAATTATGCTGACCTGTTAAAAGCCCTGCTTTAGCCGCAAGACTGGGGTGGACTGTGGCGTTACTAAGAATGATACCACTTTGACAGTGATTGTGATTGTGTCTGCGCACAGGGCACTGGCGTGACACTGTCCTTTCTTTTATGAAAACCATTCATTGCTCTGCTGCCTCCTTAAATTTAGGAATCGATGCAAGTATGAGTTCTCAAAGCCCATTACGCCACCGCTTCCACCGATTCACAAATGCATCTGGGCGAAGCTGCACTTTTAACAAGCATTAGCATGTAACTCATGGACCCTGTGTGTTGGCTGTGAAGCTATCAATTTTTGGGGTTTAGTTATGTTCAGAAGTAGAAGTGAAAAGAAAAAGATGCTTGTTACTGGAGTATATTGCTAGAGCCTTCATGGAGGTGAACAATTCTGCTAACACTGCTTCGCTATTTATGGCAACACTTCACTGATTTCGTGGTCTTCATTATTCTGTATGGCTTTTACTCCTACCCATCGCTCAGGAATGGCAGTGTGTAGGTTCTCGCTATTGTGTACTTTGTCTCACACCATCCTTGGTGCTGTGCGAGGGAGCGGGTGCACGGGAAGAGAAGGTGTAAGTCCAGGCAGTGCCGGCTAATTCCTGCTCCAGCCCCTTCAGTAAGGAACCATCATCAGGTTTCTTACTGTCTCTCCAAAGTGGGGTGATGTTTTGTGTTTTCTCACGTTAAAGGAACTCAGTACGAAGAGAGCTCTCCCCGCAGATGGCTGATGGAGAGCTTCTCCTCTCTATTTTAGTGCAGAATTAACTTCCTCACGTAAATCAGTGCTATCGGCAAGCCAAGTTCACATGTCCTGCTCTGTAGGGTAGAGGTCCTGCTCTACTGGGTAGAGGTTTATTCGCTGTTTTTATATTTTTGGGAAAGTGGGAAGTAAAGCCATCAAATGATCCCCAGACCTCGGAAAAGCGGAAGGTATTTTGATATTCTCAGTTTGCTATGGCCTTACTCATGTAGGATGCTGGGGCTGTCTCTTTCCTAACTGTAAGAAGAAACTCCACATTACCCATTGTGTCAGAACAGACTTACTTAAAAGAACAAACACACATATACGAAGTAGGAGGGAGGTAAACTAGTTGAAGTGCCTCAATTTTAAGGTTAGATCAGAGATTTCTGTATCTGTAGTAAGAACAAGTAGTAGTATAATCTCCATAGTGAACCGGTGGCGGGAAGAGCCCTCTGCAGTCTCAGGGAGTGCAGTGGGCAGCAGTGCTGCCTGGCCAGTTGGGTGTCCTGCTGTCTTCTGCATCGTCAGGGTCAGTGTTTGAGGTTGCCTTATATGCACTGTCTTTTTTACACCTTGAAAAAGAGCTTTGTGCACTGCCCACAGCTACAGAAGTAGAGAATGAGACACCTGAGGTCTCTCATAGCCAAATGACCAGGAGAAGGAAACCATGGGCTTGAATGCATTTTGTCCAGCAGCTTTCAGGTCTACCTGAAAGGTCTCCCTCCTACAGCAGCTGTGCACCTCTTTGTAACTGATGCTTTTGCTCCCAATTTAATTTCCCCTCAGTGTTTCAAAAGCCTATTGCATGTGGTTTCGTTGTTGGAAGGATGCATTTAATCCCCTTTTCCATTACATTGTACTTCAGTAGCAACACCTAAATTATTTTTGTTTGATCTTCTCTGCACACCGTTGCCCTACAGAAGTCATTTGCCATGGGAAGTTATGGCACTGCTTTCTTCACAAAACCTCTGTGACACAGCAGCAATTTTAGGTGCATGGTTTTTGGGTGTGGTTTTTCAGGATTTTTGTAAATATATGTGATTTCCAGAAATTATCTCATTCCTGATAGTATGGATAGGGACTGAGATGAATAATGGTGGTTAACATCTCTGAAACATAATTTTTTGAAAATTTCCAATCAAAATTAATTTTATTGTTAACTTTATATTGCTGGTTCTCAGGGTGACCCAATAAAGAAAGAAAAACTCTAAATATACAAATGAGATGAAAATATTTCTTCTGATTATTTCAATGATTCAAAAGTTAGGTTCACCCGCCTTAAAGAATATAAAGGCTTGAGGGCAAGTGAAATTACACAGTACTATAGTGTGGAGAAAGAACATATAAATGAAGACATTTTATTTGATTTAAGAGTATCAATTATTAATCACAATCTGAGTAGAAGAAAATTTATGGATTCACTCTGTCTTTTATGCACTTACGGTATTTTACTCCAAGTATGTTTTTTAGCCAACCAGCCACTTCTCCACAAAATCAAAGCAGGCTTGACATTGCTGATATTCCAAAGATTTAAGAAAGAATCTGTATTTTAAGTTCAGGGTTTTTTCACAAAGAAATAAGTGTACAATGCCAACTTTTTTTAAAAGATGCTTTTTAAAGAGTCCATTGAAACGTAATTGAGACTGATTGAAGTCAACATAGCATTTTCGGTTGGTCTGTATTCTACATAAAAATTCTTGTTTCCACAAAAGTAAACTCTTATCCCTCTCTAATAAGCAGGCATTGAATAGTTCAGAAATAGTAGTAGAGAGTTTTTACATTGTGTTTTAGTCAAAAAATATGAGCATATTTCCTAGCATTGTTTTGTTGAATCCAATTTCAATTTAGTAGTCATCAATTTGAATACTTAATTATTAATCATTTAATTAAGTAATTTTAACAGATCTTTCTTACTGTCAACCCTAAGTGCAAGAGGCCAGTTTTACTTCTGTCCCAACAGTTACACATAGTGTGTAACTACTTTTTAAAGGCAAAAAATAATAGGAAAAAATTAATTTCATTTCTTTAGGTACTCCTGGTTTTTTGCCCCTGTGCATCACAGTGCCTAACCGTCTGTGCTTTATTAGTTCTAAGCTGAATGCATCTCTTACTGGGCCTGGCTGCTCAAGTTCTTCTCTGGAAGAGAACAGGGTGGCATATTATGCCACTATTACAGGTGCAGGTTTGCTTTCTTTTCTTATTGTTTGTCTGAATTTTCCTGCTTAAGTAATTCACTTCAGTCTTCTCTGGAAGTTGTGAAGGAACATTAGTTTCTAGAAGTTTTTATATACAATGCTGCTCTTCTACCACTACTGCCATTGAAGGAGCCTTCAAGAAAATACATGTTTTTTTTAAAAAGCAAATTCGCTATGGGAAAGGGATGAATACAAGGTTTGAATCTTAAATACTGGAGACGGCATACTGAGACGGCTGAGTTATTTTTATTGTTTTGCTGGAACAGATTACTATTTTCAGCCTGGTTTGGTGCAGTTATTGTTTACTTTCTGGTCCTTGGTAGCTGAAAATGCCTGTAGATATTAATATAGTTCCCTTCCCACAGGGTATCTAAGTTCCATAAGTTAGTATTGTGTTGTCACCAGCCAATATCATTCAACCGCATGAGGTTTTAGATATTACACACCGGCTAAGTCTTCTTAGGAACTGTTTTTAACCAATTTGCATGAAATCTTCAAGATCCGTTGCAATGGTGTCCGCATTTTATTAGCATGTTAAAATATTTCCTGAATATTACTTTATGAAAGGTCACCTGTTTGGGAAAAAAAACCACCACCAAGCTTACTGTCTGTATGCTCTTCTTATGTAGTTTATGATCCTAGAAAGAGGTTGTCTTAGAGAGAACCAGGAAAATAACCTTACCAGAAAAGCTGACCAGAGGCAAGTACTGTGTAACCAATTGACATGACATGGTTTAGCCGCTGAATGTTCATTTTATACTTCTAGTGTAGGCTGATCTCCTCCTCACTATTAACTTCTGGAATTCAATCAGAATGAGCTTGCTTGTTTTTTTTTTTTTAATTAATGCAGGAGTGGACCAGGCATTACCACAAGAACGTCGAACTCCTGTTACTCCATCCTCTTCCTCTCGATACCACCGTCGCAGGTCCTCAGGGTCACGGGATGAGCGCTATAGATCGGGTAAGTATAACTGAAGACCACAGAACTGGAATGAAAATTTGAAATGGCTGGTTCTGTTCTTTGCTTTTTTAAAAAGAATTTTGTTGTAAACTCATGTAGTAGCTATACATGGGAAATATTCGTTGTACAAATAGAGACACTATCCAAGCATGCAGGGGTGGAGTTGCAAAGCCAAAGTACGTCTGGAATTGCATCTGGCAACAAACGTGAAGGGCAACAAGAAGGGCTTCTACAGGCACCTTGGCAGCAAAAGCAAGACTAGCGAAAATGTAAGCCTACTGCTGAATGGGGCAGGGGACTGGGTGACAAAGGGCATGGAAAAGGCCAAGATACTTAATGTCTTCTTTGCCTTGGTCTTTACTGGTGATACTTGCCTTCAGGAATCCAAGGCCCCTGAGACCAGTGGGAAAATCTTGAGCAATGAAAACCTACCCTCCATGAAGGAGAATCAGGACAGGGAACATGTGAACAAACTGAACATGTACAAGTCCATGGGACATGATGGGATGCATCATTGGCTGACATCATTGTGAGGCCACTCTCAATTCTTTGAAAGGTAGTGGCAATCAGGGGAGGTTTCTGAGGACTGGAAGAAAGCAAGATTCATTCCTGTCTTCAAGAATGGCAAGAAGTAGGATCTGGGAAACTACAGGCCAGTCAGCCGCACCTCGATCCCTGAGAAAGTGGTGGAGCAAATAATCCTGGAAACTGTTTTTAAATATATGAAGGACAAGGAGGTAATTTGGAGTAGTCAGCATGGATTTATGAAGTCCCCTTATTACGTTGGTCAATCCATGCTTAACCAACCTAATAGCCTTCTACAATGAGATAACTGCCTTGGAGGTTGAGGGAAGAGCAGTGAACATTGTATGCCTTGACTTTAGTAAGGCTTTTGACAGTGTCTCTCATAACATCCTCATTGACGAACTGGTGAGGTATGGATTAGATAAGTGGGCAGTGAAGTGGCCTGAAAATTGACTGAAGTGTTGAGCTCAGAGGGTTATAATCAGCAGCACAAAGTCCAGCTGGACACCAGTCTCTAGTGGTGTACTCTAAGAGTAAATGTTGGCTCCGGTACTGCTTAATAGCTTAATGCTTAATAGTGACCTTGCTGGTGAAACAGAGTGCGCCCTTCACAAATTTGCAGATACCAAATTGGGAGGAGTGATTGATACACCACATGGACGTGCTGCCATGAGGGGTCTGGAGAGGCTGGAGGAGTGGGCAGAAAGGAATCTAGTGAAGTTTGACAAAGGGAAACGCAAAGTCCTGCGCCTGGGAAGGAATAACCCCATGCACTCGGGCAGGCTGGGGGCCCACTGGCTGGAAAACAGCTTGGCAGCAAGGTCCTGGTGGTCAACAAGGTAAACATGAGCCAACAAGGTGCTCTTATGGCAAAGAAGGCCATCAGCCTCCTGGGCTGCACTAGGAGGAATGCTGCCAGCAGGTCGAGGGAGGTGATCCTTCCCCTCTGCTCAGCACTGGTGAGGCACATCTGGAGTTCTGGGTCCGGTACAAGAGAGAGATGGATGTACTGGAATGAGTCCAACAAACGACCACAAAAATTATTAAGGAACGGAGCCTCTGACATGTGAGGAGAGGCTGAGAGAGCTGGGGTTCTGCAGCCTGGAAAAGAGAAGGCTCAGGGGGATCTTATCCATGTGTGTAAGTACCTGATGGGGGAAGTAAAGAAGATGGAACCAGACTCTTCTCAGTGGTGCTCAGTGACAGGACAAGAAACAGTAGGCACAAACTGAAATATGAGAAATTCCATTTAATCATAAGAAAAAACTTTTTTACTCTAAGAGTGGTTAAGCACTGGCACAGGTTGCCCAGGGAGGTTGTGGTGTCTCCATCTTTGGAGCTATTCAAAACCCCACTGGACATGGCCCCAGGCAATCTGCTGTGGGTGACCCTGCTTTGAGCAGGGAGTTGGACTGGATGATTTCCAAAAGTTCCTGCTTTCCAAAAGTTCCTTCTGACCGCCACCAGTCTGTGGTTCTGTGGCACAGCTGGATTTTTTTGTACTGATTCTAGTTTGGTGAATACCATAAAAATATTTAATTTGAAGTATAGCAAGTTGGGAACATCATTATGCCCTAAATAGAAGCACTGATAAAGAGAAGATAAAATTAATTTCAGAGCTGAACAAAAGGGTAAAATCTCATTTCCAAATGAATGGGATCCAAGTCTCTTCACGATGCTGCTCCAGATACAACACAAAGTGAAGGAAATGATTGGTTTATAACTGAAGAAAAAGTGAGCTCTGAAACTTCTTTACTCTTACCTTTGAAGGCGTAAACTGCATGTACTACACCTTAACTGGATGAAGGGTAGGTGTGCTTAGCTGTTGTTTGAACTGCTACAGGCACTGCTGCCATGTAAGCGCCCTTCTCAGCTGACAGCCAGAGGCCAGGGGCTGGTTTGTCTGCTGCTGCCTCTCTGCAGCTGCAGAATGAGGGAGCTGTAGGCAGCAGCACCCATCGACCATTGTGGCAGAGAGACCCTTGCGAGGTGAGAGTCAGGAGCCAGGGATGAATGGTTGTGGAGAGCGCGGAGGAGCCAACTGTGGAAGTTCTGGATTATGTCTGAGAGATGCATCTTGCTGGACAGAGTCAGGCGCATTGTGCTGACACAATGGAAAATTACAGAGAACTCCTTATTAAACCTTTTGTAACATATCTCTGGTTCATTCCGCTAGTCAAAGAGCTTGCCAGTCCCATTTAAAGGAAAATGGAACGATAAATGTTGGCAGAGAAAGTTCATGTACGTCCAGACCATTCTGATAAATTTGAAAAATTCCCCTCTCCCCTCAGAAACCTTGGGTTCACACTGTAGATGCCAGTTCTTCGTTGAATAATGATTGTGGGATCTGCAAAATAATTCCTTGGTATATAAGCTCTTAGAAACTTCTCCCACATTACACTAAAAATCGTCTGATTTCTACCCAGTGTTTTCAAACAGGTAAAAATTCTATTCTTGAAATTGTCTAGTTTGTGGGAATGCAACCCATGGTCAAACCTCCAAGCTGTGACTGTCCAGAGCAATTCTGTTAAAAACGTGTATTTGACTGTGTGTTGAAAGTCGTCTGCTTGAGCTATGCTTGCCATTTGTAAACTAAGATGTTGAGTCAGTTTGGGGACGGGCGAAAGGAGACATCGTGCACATCTTCCCTCTGTGCCTCTCTTGACACGCCAGGGGTGCTCTCAGGTGGTGTTGCTGCTTCTTGGTTTCAGTCGCTGCCTGCTGCCTTAGAAGGAAGGCGTTTGTTCAGTGAAATGGTACATAAGGTCCTGCCTTAGGAATGGGGCGAAGTGTTGTAATGATGTACGTAAATAATAAAGACACAAACTGTCTTGCTGTATTGGGTTTGCATGGCAAGGTTTTGGTAGTGGAGGGGCTACAGGGGTGGCTTCTGTGAGAAGCTGCTAGAAGCTTCCCCCATGTCCGATAGAGCCAATGCCAGCCGGCTCCAAGACAGACCC